GATACATTCATATGGAGCTTCTGAATGTTGCTTTTACATATGGAACTGCTCAGTGTTCATCTATATTCCTCACCTTTTTAAAAATTCTGCAACATCTTCACATATTTTTAAATGTTACCAAATTCAATTAAACTACTCAATTTTCATTAGAAATTTTGCTATGAAACTTTATATTTCCCTAATTTAAAATATTCTATTTTTTCTAATGTTTTGGTAAAACATCTTGGAAGAGAGAAAATAAGAGACCACACCTTCACTCTCTTCATCAGATGAGGGGACTTGGGATCTGAAATAGAACAATGACAGATGTGGCACAAGGAATGCCAAGCTTGACCTTAAAAGCCAAAGGAGACTAACATGCCATGAGCTTAAAGCTAACTACTGGCATAAACAAAAGAAAAAGGTAAATATAGTAATAGAGTTTCATGAAACAAATCATCTTCTTCTTATATCCAAATAAAGAATACTAGAAATGGAAATCCAGACATTTTAGGTGGGTTTTCAGGGTATAGTGGCTGAGAGAATACTGTTAACCCCTGGTATTAGGGGGCTACAGAAGTGCTCACAAGTAGTGTCATCAGGACAGTGGAGTGGACACTGGGTGATGGAGGGAAAACAGCTTGGGTGGTCCTCAGTGAGTGGTTTGTGTGAGTTAGGGATTGGAGCAGTGACTGGGAATCTTGTCCTGAAGCACTTAGTGAGGCTAAGGCTGACTGAGACCCAGGTTTGGTGAGTATGACCTGACCAGGAGAGTACATGATCTCAGTTGACTTTGTTGTCTTGCTCACTCTGTGACTCAGATCAGTACTCAGCAAAAAGTTGTCACCATCCTCCAAGAATCAGTTCAGTAGGACACAAGGCCTCCATTGATTAGCTCATCAGGGCTGATCATTCAAAGTTAATTCTTGGCACAGACATCAAGTGGCAAGTGGTTCAGGATGTTCTGAACTCTGAGCCATCTAAGGAGCCAAGGAGAACACTGGTCACGGGTGGTGGGGAGTGTCACCTACAGATCATGAAGGCTCTGGAGAGGCCTTCGTCAATGAAAAGATGCTGAGAGAAGATTATACAAATGTGCTCTTCCTCTTGTCCTTCAGAGAAATTCTATTTAGAAAATATCCTATTTTGGGTCAAAAACTGAAATGTAAGGCAGTAGGAATGGGTTCATGAGCTTTCCCCTGGCTCAGGCTATCTCCTAGAGCATCAGTCTTCCCAGCATCACTTTGTTGCAGAAATATTTAAGAAAGGGATTAAGAAAAAAAGAAAAAAAAGGATTAAGACTTGCTCTTGAATCTAGATTCCATGACATCATGCAGAGGAATCAAGAGTTGAGGGAGCTCTGTCTCCAGCACCCAATTAGATTCTTTTCTCATTACCATCACTCAGCAGTGTTGGGAATCTGAGAAAGTGTTCCCAAAAAATCCCTAACTTTTGATTCTTGCTCTGTACTTCCCTCAAGACTGGACTGAGATCACAGGAAACAGCAGATTTTATCTGAGCTACAAATTATTTAACCACATAAAGGAAATAGAATTGAGGTTCAACTTTCTTTCCCCATGGTTTGCCAATTTGAAGAACATAGGTAACATTTATACAACTCCAAATATGGAACTTCGGCAGAGTAATCTATATATTGTATAGATTCTACATTCAAATAGAAACCAAGGATATCAGGCTACAACCAGTGATTTCTGTCCCCATCTTCTGTCTGATCTGTTCTTCTTATGTGAACTCCTTTTACTGAAGGCATTTGCCCACATAATCACTCTTGGATGTTTAAGCACTTGACACAATGGAAAATCCTCAAAAGCTCATGCTGACTCAGATCAACTTGATTAAAGGACAAAATCTTGAACAGAGGATCCTGAAGATATGGACCAATCTCTCCATACCTCTGGAAACAAATATTCTACTCTCAACTGTGAGAAGTTGGTTCTATTTTTGTTAGCTTCCATTTTTGTGTGAGGTTGCTCAGTGTCTTTCTCTGTGTGGTTCTTTCATTTAATGCATTACCTCCCATAGCCTTTTATGAGATTACAAACGACAGCCTTCTTTTTTTTTTTTTTTGGTCGGTTGTGGGGCTTGAACTCTGGACCTGGGTGCTGTCCCTCAGCTCTTCAGCTCAAGGCGAGCACTCTACCACTTGAGCTACAGCGCCACTTCCGGTTTTCTGGTGGTTTATTGGAGATAGGAGTCTCATGGTCTCTCCTGCCCCGGCTGGCTTTGAACCGCGATCCTCAGATCTCAGCCTCCTGAGTAGCTAGGATTACAGGCGTGAGCCACCAGCGCCCTGCTGACAGCCTTCTTTTCATCACAAAGAAATGTAAGCTTTCCAGGTGTTGGATATGCAACCAATGCTCAATGAAACATGAAACAACACACTGTATAATCAAATGAAATGTTTGATTGGGAAAAAGTTATTACTAATTGTCACATGGTCACCTATTCTATTCTCCACGTTTGTGAGTTTTGTCTATTTTTCTTTTTTTTCCTTTTTTTGGTCAGTCATGGGGCTTGAACTCTGGGCCTGGGTGCTTTCCCGGCGCTCTTCAGCTCAAGGCGAGCGCTCTACCACTTAAGCCACAGCACCATTTTGTTGTCTCTATTTTTCTTAATTTCCTTTTTTGTGTTGAGATTGCTCAGTATCTTTCTATACCTGGTTATTTGACTTAATATACTATCTTCCATAGCCCGCCCTGAGATTGCAAATGACAGTATTCTTCTCACCATAAAGAAATATATGTGTTCTTGCTGTTGGATATGAAACACTGTAGAATGAAATCATAGTACATAATATTATGCTTCAAAATGCTGTATGGATATACCTAGGAAGAAATATGTGATTAGGATGACTTTTTACCTGAATTTTACCCTACCGAATATCTAGCACAGTCCTACCTCTGTCTCTCTCATCCCTTGGATTTCGGCAACCACCTTCTAACAAGCTTCTGGTTCCTCATTTTTGCCATGTTTCCAATTATTTCCTTACTACCAGAATTGAGTTTAATAAAACCATGTCTTCATTGTATTTTGGTACAATTATCTGAATGGAGCTGGGGAAAGAAATTGGAGTGATGATAGACTCATCCTCAGAACTCCACTTTCAGCCTCCAGAAAAGTAAAAAAACACAAGCTCTTCATATTATCCACGCTGGTTTATTATAACAACTCACTCAACAGAACAACAGAATGAACTAAGGGTGAATCAATCACATGTGACTCATTACCAGTGATTAATTCAATATAAAGTAAGCACTGAAGTTATTTTGGGGTTACTCATCCAAAACCAAATGGTTTAGACTCTTGTCTTTATTTACCAACCAAAGAAACCAGAAATGAAGCTGTGACTCAAATAGTAGAGCATTAGCCTTGAGCAAAAATGCTTAAGAAGAGTGCCTAGGCTCTGAGCTCAAGCTACAGGACTTGTACCCATACAAAAAGCAAATATATCCCCAAATGTGTGCCTTTCCATGTTTTCTGAATGTTTCATGAACTTGAGGACAAAAGGTGAAGAGAAAAATTTCACAATTGTGCACGTTTTGTAATAAACAATGGCATCTTCCATCAGATCTTCTATTCAAACACTGAACTGGAAATAGTAAGTCACTTGTGTTATAACGCATTGAGCGCACATACAGTGGGATACTTTAGTGGAGCAGTGGAGAAATCGAAGCTCTTATGTCCTTGTCTGAAATCATAACAGTCTTTTCCCATCTATGACTCCCCAAACCACCTTGGAGGATGATCTGAGTCCAATCTCAAAGGGCCAGAGTTCTTATTTCTGACTTTATAAAATCACCTTGACAAATTATTCCATATTATAAAAGACACAAGTCAACAACTTCACTCTCTTAATTACTTCTCAAGCCTGGAAGAAATTAACACCCATCACTTGTGTCCAAATCTTTTGAATAACATTCAAGGACACCATCCACACTCATCACAATAAGAAGATGAGAAATGTTGGCTCAGCGAGTGCCCAATAGGAAATAATGGTTTCGGGCTGGGAAGGTGGCTCAGTGGTAGAGAGCTTGCCTTGCATGCCTGAGGCCCTGGGTTTGATTCCTCAGCATCACATAAGAAAAAAGGAAAAAGCCGAAGTGGCGCTGTGGCTCAAGTGGTAGAGCGCTAGCCTTGAGCTGAAGACCCGAGGGACAGTGCCCAGGCCCAGAGTTCAGGCCCCACAACCGGACACCCCCCCAAAAAAGGAAAGAATGGTTTCCCATTACACCTAGCTTACTTCTGCCATGAAGAGCTTCTCTGTATAATTTGCAGCAGTTCCTGAAAAGTGTTTTCCTGCATTGGGTTTCTTTGCTGTGAGTGCTGATGCTTACTAAAGCCTGACTTCTGCTTGAAAGATTTCCTCTAATGTTTACATTTACCAGGTCTCTGATACCTGTAGAGATAAGATTTCCAGCTAAATGTTTTTCTACATTTATTATGCTGAGAATTTCTCTCATTTATTTATATGTTCTCAGATGGACTGAGGACTGACACCTGCTTAAAAGTCATTGCACATTTGGTGTATTCACTAGTTTTCTTTTCTCTTGTGTGATTCAGTTCTCTGATGAACACTGAGGTATGCCTTCCAGGTGAAGGCATACCTTTCCACATTTATAACATTCATAAGATTTCTCTTCTGTGTGTTCTATTAACACCAACTCATGCCTTTTTGGTGAAGGATTTTCCACGTTTGTTACGTTCATACGGTTTCTCTCCTGTGTATGTTCTCTGATGCAAATTGAGGTGTGACTTCTTGAAAATTTTTTCCACATTTGTTTTATTCATAAGATTTCTCTCCTATGTGTGTTCAATGATGAGCCATAAGCTGTGCCTTCTGGGTGAAAGACTGCACATATGCTCCATTCATAAGGTTTCTCTCCTGAGTGGGTTCTCTGATGCAAACTGAGTTTTCTTCCAGGTGAACGACTTTCCATTTATTTTATACATACAATTTTTCATGAGTGTGAATTCTCTTATTCTTGTTGAGATGTGAACTCTGGATGAAAGATTTTCCACATTTGTTACATTCATAAGGTTTCTCACCTGTATGAATTCTCTTATGCCAACTTAGGTGTGAACTCCACTTTAAGGTCTTTCCACATTTGTTGCATTCATAAGGTTTCTCTCCTGTGTGTGTTCTCTGATGCGAAGTGAGGGTTGATTTGTGCCTGAAAGACTTTCCACATTTGTTACATTCATAAAGTTTCTCTCCTGTGTGTGTTCTCTGATGCGAAGTGAAAGAAGACTTCTGCCTGAAAGATCTATATTTGTTACATTCATAAGGTTCCTCACCTGTGTGAATTATCTTATGCTTGCTGAGGTGTGAACTCCGGGTGAAGGTTTTTCCACATTTGTTACATTCATAAGGTTTCTCACCAGTGTGAATTCTGTTATGCATGCCAAGGTGTGAACTCCACTTGAAGGTCTTTCCACATTTGTTGCATTCATAAGGTTTCTCTCCTGTATGTGTTCTTTGGTGCAAAGTGAGGTGTGACTTCCCTCTGAAAGCCTTACCACATTTGTTGCATTCATAAGGTTTCTCTCCAGTGTGATTTCTCTCATGCAAAGTGAGGTCTCACTTCGGTCTGAAAGTCTTTCCACATTTGTTACATTCAAAAGGTTTCTCACCTGTGTGAAATCTCGTGTGTCTCTGGAGGTTTGCCTCCCGGGTGAAGGACTTTTCACATGTCTGACATTTATAAGGTTTCTCTCCTGTGTGTGTTCTCTGATGGACAGTAAGATGTGTCTTCCGGGCAAGAGATTTTCCACATATGTTACATTCATAAGGTTTACCTCCTGTGTGTGTTCGCTGAAGCAAAGTGAGGTATGACTTTTGTATGAAAGACTTTCCACATTTGTTGCATTCATGCATGCATTCTCATCTTTGGGAGTTCTCTGATGCCTGCTGAGACCTGACTTCTGGATGGAAAATTTCCTCCATTCCTCATATTCAAAGGGTTTCCAATCTATAGGTGATTGAGGTTGGAAAGTCAAGTCTGACTTATGAGAGAGAGAGTTTGTACATTGCTTATACTCATCGGACTTCTGTGGATATTTGCTCTCAGGTTTTCTAATGTGCATTTCCTTATTGAAAGACTTCTCACATTCATTAAATGTACAAGGATACTCTCCTTTGTACATTTTCTGATGTGTAGTGACTACAGGTCTTATGTAGAATGTTTTTCCACATAAAGTACATTCAGGTGTTTTCCTCCCTCCTTGAAGTATCTCTTGGGCAAGGAGAGCAGACTTATCATAGTCTTCTCTATATTCACTATGGTTATAGGAGGTCTCTCCCATACAGACCCAATTATGGCTAAAGAATATAGTCTCTGAGTTTAATACCTTCCCTTCTCCACCAAATTCAAAATACTGCAGCTCATTTGGACTCGCATAATTTTGACTAAAATACTCTGAATATCTGAAGGATTGTTCAACTACAGGAGACACACCAGTTGTATATGCAGCATGCATCTCATCAGGCTCACTATTGAGAAGCATGTCCTGAAACTCAATGAACTCCTCAGTGCTCATCCCTAAAGAGTTCCCATTATTCCTCATCAGCTCAAGCTTATGAGTTGAGCCCAAGTTAAAGTTGTTATCAATCTCACTCTTTCTTCCACTGGGTTACTATTTGTGACTGCTACTTCACACAGACATTCATCTGGACCTTCCTGGCAGGTCTTAATCACCTCCTCCATTTCTTGGACATTTAAAATGTGTCAAAGAAAAAAAAGACAAAAACATAAATGAGATCCAAAGATTCCTTAATGTAAAGGTGAAGACATTTTCTCTCATTCTGTTACAGATTTTCAATTATCAAAATAGGAATTAATTTATGATACATGATTTCTCCCTAATGTATTAATTAAAAAATAATACTGATATTTAGCAATGGAAAATGTTTTTCTGTGTTTCAGTTTTTCTTTTTATATCAGAAGAAATATTTACTCAAATTATTCAACTAAGTACTGTGAAAGTCTTAAGCTGAACACTTAAAATTTGCCTTTAGTATTCTTGGGATTGTTTCAAATATTGTTTTGTTTGACCATAGGGGAATAGCTGCTTTGTGTTCTTTAATTTTCGGAGACTTGGCCCCTCCGCTGTCGCAGCCACCTCCCCACCCCCCGGCCCTCCACGAAGCGGTTCACCATGGCCTGGCCCCGCCGAGCCAGGCGCCTCAGCCGCAGGTCACGCGGAGCTGTGGGCGCTGCGGCAGGAGCCAGCGCGAGGCGCTGAGGTGCTGAGGCGCCGCCGCAGGGCCGGAGCCAGCCGCCGAGCGAGCGGGCGCGTGCTGGCGCGGCGATGTACCCAGAGGAGCGCGGCGCGGTGGGGCTGGGCGAGCTCCACTCCTGGTGGGAGGTGCCGGCCATCGTGCACTTCTGCTTGCTCTTCCGCACCACCTTCCTCCTGCCGGACTTCGAGATCAAGGTGAGAGGCGGGGACTGGCCGGAGTTCGGGAGCAGGGCTGCGGCGGCGTGAGGGTGGGAGCCGGGGCCAGGGCCGCCGGCGAGTGCGGGTGGCGCTCCTCGTGCCGCTGGGACCTACGGCGGCAGCGCCCACGCGCGGTCCAGGGCGGGCTGGCGGGCGAGCGGGCAGCGCCGCCAGCCCCCTTGGGGCCGAGCCGGGGCCGCCCGGAGCTCGTCCGCCCCCAGAGAGGCAGCGGCGGCGGCGACGGGGCCTGGCCGCCAACTCCGGGCGGGGCGGGGGTGGGGGGCTCCTGGGGCCGCGGGGAAAGTCGGGTGTCATCTCTTCCCACCAAGCTCGGCCCTGGGTGGGGGCGGTGGGGATGGCGCAGGGCTGGAAACTTGCGCGGCTTTTGTGTTGTGGGTGGTGGTTGTTGTTGTGTTGTTGTTGATGTTGTTGTGTTGATGTTGATGTTCCCCCCCCTTCCTGCGCCCGGCCCGGCAGGGGAAGCCGTGCTCCTGGAGCCAGGGAAGCTAGCTCCGGCCCAGGGACCTGGGCGCTGGCGGCCCGAGCTCCCGGGGCAGGCTGGACAATGTGGGGAAGTTGCTGGCTACCTCTGGCAGAGTGGGGAGGGGGAGGAGGAAGAGGAGGGGGAGGAGGAGGAATGAGGGGGGGAGGGGAGGGAAAGGGGGCTGTGGTACCAGGTGATTTTTCTAACGACTTTCCCTCTTCTTGGTGGGAGCCTGGTCACTAGAATCCGGGCAGCCGAGGCTCATGAGCCTGAAGTCCGCAGGAGGGATGGTTGGATGGATGGATGGATGGTTGGATGGATGGATGGATGGATGGATGGTTGGATGGATGGATGGATGGATGGATGGATGGATGGATGGATGGATGGTTGGATGGTTGGATGGTTGGTTGGTTTGTTTTCTGACAGTTACTCCCGAATGTTCTGAATTTCCTTAGTGGGTCAGCAGAAAAAAAACACCCTGACAAAGGCCAGCGAATCAGGGCTGCGTCTCTCTGTGGAGGCCGCCGGGCTCCGCACCCCGCACCCCCTCCTGGGGCTCCAAGAGACCATGGAGAGGACCCCTGGTCAGGAGAGCCTTTGGAGGGAAACGGCAGGCATCACCGGGTCCCCATGCGCCCTTTTTGTGGATGGAAAAGGAGAGGTCAACTCATTTCAGCCTGAAGACAGCCACGCTCCCAGCAGTCTGGGAGTGATTTGTCCTGTGTCCTACACGTGTGTGGCTTCTGAGTGTTAGCGGGCTCACTTCCTAAAGAGAAATGCAGATTGTTTGAAGAGGTCAAGTATATTTAAAGGAGAAATGAGAAGTGATTGTAGCTTACACAGTGACTGGTGCAGACACCCGAAGTGACCGTTTCTAATTCTAGTCTTCCTTGGGAGTAACTTTCTTTTCACTTAAAACATATGCAATTTGAAAAACACCTCAGATACCTATTTAGATTCCAACATGTATGCCCTGTAAGTATTCTTCACACTTCTTTTTCTTTGGAGACGTTAGGTAACCTACTTACTTAATGCTCTGGTACTTGTATCTCTATCGTAGATCATGTGTATTTATTTTGATATGCCCCCCTTTGTGTGTGTGTATGTACGTGTGTGCACGTGTGCGTGTGCACGGGCACACACACCCACACCCCTGAGCTGCTGCTTTTTTTTTTTTTTGGCTCAAGGCTTGTATTCTACCCCTTAAGCCACAGCTTCATTTCTGACTTTTGGTATTTATTGGAGATAAGAGTCTTCTCACAGACTTTTCTGACCAGGCTGCTTCAAACCATGATCCTCAGATCTCAGCCACCTGAGGAGCTAGGATGATGGGCTATATGGCTATATTTTAAGTAGAGATTTTTTTTTCAAAAGTTGAGAAATGTTAAATTAGTTGTCTACCAAACTTGACTCAACTGTGAAGAACTGAGGACACTAATCAGTTTGATTCAGTATAATTGATTCTCATTTTTCTTAGGTAATTAAAAAATATCAAATAGTTTATTGGCCTGACTGTTTAAGAAAAAGTTTGGCTGGGAATGTGGCTTAGTAGTAGAGTGCTTGCCTAGAATACATGAAGTCCTGTGTTTGATTCCTCAGCACCACATAAAACAGAAAAAGCTGGAAGTGGTGCTTTGGCTCAAATGGTAGAGTGCTAAGTCTTGAGCAAAAGGAAGCTCAGGGACAGTGCCCAGGCCCTGAGTTCAAGCCCCAGAACTGGCAAAGAAAGAAAGAAAAGATTCCTAGGTTAGGTCCTAGGCCCTACAGTGGTAATGTATAGCAACTTGAAAAGATAGAAATGGTGGGCTAGGAAGGTGGCTCAGTGGTAGAGTACTTGCCTTGCATGCCTGAGGCCGTGTGTTCGATTCCTCAGCGCCACATAAGCAAAAAGAAAAAAGCCGAAGTGGTGCTGTGGCTCAAGTGGTAGAGCACTAGCCTTGAGCTGAAGAGCTGAGGGACAGCATCCAGGCCCAGAGTTCAGGCCCCACGACCAGACCCCTCCCCCCAAAAAAGATAGAAATGGTGAATAATACCAGGTAGAAGTTGGATATCATTTCTTCTCTAATGGGGGCTTGAACTCACAGCCTCTCAATTTCCTTGCTCACTGCTGGAGCTCTAACATTTGAGCTCTGCCTCCAGCCTGGCTTAAAAAATTTTTTTGGTGTCATTCTTGTGGTTTGAATTCAGGGCCTGGGTGCTGTCCCTGAACTTTTGTGCTCAAGGGTAGCACTCTGCCACTTGAGTCAAGGCTCCCCTTCAGGCTTTTTGGTGGTTAATTGAAGGTAAGAGTCTTACAGACTTTCATGCCCTGATTAGCTTTTAACGGTGATCCTCAGATCTCAGGCCCCAGAGTAGCCAACATGTCAGCCTGGCATGGTTATAGGAGAAAAGAGTCTACCACTTGAGCCACAGTGCCACTTCTGGCGTTTCCTGTGTATTTGGAACCGAGGAGTTGAACCCAGGGCTTCATGCATGGTAGGCAAGTGCTCTACCACTGAGCCACCTTCCCAGCCCGTGTTTTGTTTTATTTTATTTTATTTTAAAGGAAGCCAGTTTTCACCTGTGGGACAGATCTCTTCCTCTCTTTTTAACTCTTGATCACCTGGCTGAACATTTGGATTTATAGAATCTTCAAGGCCTTGGCTTCTATTTTTCTTTTTTTTGGGTCCGGTCGTGGGGCCTGAACTCTGGGCCTAGGCACTGTCCCTCAGCTCTTCAGCTCAAGGCTAGCGCTCTACCACTTGAGCCACAGTGCCACTTCCGGCCTTTTTCTTTTTGCTTATGTGGTGCTGAGGAATCGAACCCAGGGCCTCAGGCATGCAAGGCAAGCGCTCTACCACTGAGCCACCTTCCCAGCCCTGAAGAGCTGATGTTTTTATATTGGCATGCTAAAAATATTTTTACTTCGTTAGCAGCCTTGAATATAGAGGATTTCTTCAGGAAAGGCAACATACTTTTTTTTTCCCCTAGTGCTGGGAGCTGGGAGATTGGACACATGGTCTCATGCTAGCGAGGTTTCTACCATTAAACTCCTTAGCCTCTTATCATTTGGAGATTTTTTTTTTTTTTGGTTGATCATGGAGCTTTCAACTGTGGGCCTGGGTGCTGCCCCTGAGCTAAAGGCTAACGCTGTACCACTTTGAGCCACAGCGCCACTTCTGTTTTCTGGTGCTTAATTGGAGATAAGAGTCTCAGAGACTTTTCTGCTCAGGCTGGCTTTGAACTGTGATCCTCAGATCTCAGCCTCCTAAATAGCTAAGATTACAGGTGTGAGGCACCAGCACCTGGCTTGGAGATATATCTAAGGACTTCAATGTTTCTGTGCCCTAAATAAAGTGTTTGTAATTATCAGTCCAGAAATCTGTGAGTGTACGGTTAATGATCCTTTGCATTGTTTAATTGTGGTTTAAAAAATAATAACATAAAATTGCCAGGTGGTAGTGGCTCACGCCTGTAATCCTAGCTACTCAGGAGGCCGAGATCAGAGGACAGTGATTCAAAGCCAGCTGGGGTAGAAAGTCCATGCAACTCTTATATCCAATAAACTATTTTAGAAAAGGGGGGCAGAGGCTAGAAGTAGAGCTTCGACTCAAGTAATAAGAGTCCTGACCTCAAGCAAAAGAAGGTTAGGGATAATTGCCTGAGCCTTGAGTTCAAGTCCCAGTATGGGCACACATACAAATAAATAAAATTATATAAAGCTTGAACATTATAGGAAAAAAACGTAAAAATTTGAAATAACCCACTATCACCCATGAGATTAAAAACTTGTAACATTGTAGCCTATTGCATATTTATAAGTTCCTAAATATATTCACAATGTATTTGTATCATACAGTAAGTATTTTTTCAGAGGAGACTGAAGTATTCGGGTGGTTAATACAGTGGATTAGTGACACTGAATTAAATCGTTGGCATCATTAAGTACCTATTATGTGCTTTATATAGAAGTAGATAATATCAGTTAGGCTCATAACGGTCCTGTCAGAAGATTGGCAGTTAATAAGTAGCTCAGAGCAGGGTGCTGGTGGTTCATGTCTGTAATCCTAGCTACTCTGGAGGCTGAGATCTGTGGATCTCGGTTCAGAGACAGTCCCGACATGATAGTCCCTGAAATTCTTAGCTTCAGTGTACCACCAGAAAACCGGAAGTGGAGCTGTGGAACAAGTGGTAGAGCGCTGGCTTGTGCTAAAGAGCTGAGGGACAGCGCCCATGCCCAGAATTCAAGCCCCAAGACTGACCAGAAAAATAAAAAACTAGCTCAGAGCCACAATTGTTTGTTTATTTTTTGTTCATGGGGCTTGAGTGCTGTCCCTGAGCTTTTGTACTCAAAGCTAGTGCTCTACCACTTTAAGCCACAGCTCTACTTCTGATTTTGGGGTGGTTAATTGGTGATAAGAGTCGCATGGGGGCTGGGAAGGTGGCTTAGTGGTAGAGCGCTTGCCTTGCATGCCTGAGGCCCTGGGTTCAATTCCTCAGCACCACATAAGAAAAAAGCCGGAAGTGGCACTGTGGCTCAAGTGGTAGAGTGCTAGCCTTGAGCTGAAGAGCTGAGGGACAGCGCCCAAGCCCAGAGTTCAGGCCCCACGACCGGACCCCCCACCCAAAAAAAAAAAAAAGAGTCGCATGGACTTTTCTGCTTAGGCTGGCTTCAGACTGTGATCCTCAAATCTCATTCTTCTGAGGAGCTAGGATTATAGGTGTGAGCCACCCGGCTTGTTGCCCAGCTTGTATACTATTTAATCTAGCATTATGTAATTGCTTAATATTTTAGTGGTTAGGTGGGCTAAGTTTTGTTGACTCCAAAGAGAAAAGTTAATTGGTCTCTTCTTCAAAGGTTTAGTACTTTCCCCTAACCAAGTGGTCTTCTCAGAAACTAGTGCCTTACTTGATAAGGGAGATTTTTCAGTGGTCTGATCCAAGGGAACTGGAAATGTTCATGTAGAATCATTTATGTAGTTCTTATGGTAGCAGGATAATGAAAATTGATTGCTTTCTTGTATCTTTTAATGAGCTTCTTGCCTTTGAGAACCTAATTTTTAGGTTTGCTGTGTCTCTTTCTAGTTCTTTCTTCTTTTTTGGTTAGTACTGTGGCTTGAAGTCTGGGCCTTTAATCTTAACTAGGCTTTTTTGTTCATGGCTGGCTCTCTATCAGTGGAGCTGGTGAATTGGAGATAAAAGTCTCTTGAACTTTTCTGCTGGTATATCTGGTTAGCTTGTAATCTTGATTCTCAGCCGGCAGTTTCTTGAGTAACTAGGGTTATATTTGTGAGTCACTGGTTGGTGTTGGGCTCTGATTGTGGTTTTATGTGGTTTAAAGTCCCTTACCTAAACCACATGATCACCTGAGTATAATATGCTGAGTCTTGAATGTTATACTTGGTCTTTCCTTGGATTAACTCCGTACTGGGAGCACAAGCCATGAATTTGCACATTAAAATAAGTACTGAATGTGGCTCAGTGGTAGAGTGCTTGCCTAGTGTGCATGAAGTTCTAGGTTCCACTCCTCAGTTCCACATACACAGAAAAAGCCAGAAGTGGTGTTGTGGCTCAAGTGGTAGAGAGCAAAAGCAGCTCAGGGACAGTGCCCAGGCTCTTCAGTTCAAGCCCCAAGACCGGCTCCTTAGTTTTTGCCCACCCCCCTCCCCCAAAAAAAGACTAAAGTTAAGAGGAACTTAAAAATACAATCAACAGTTCCTAAACATGGTGCCAAAGGATGGGCGGTAGATTTTTGAGTTTGTATACTTATACACAATCTGCTGGCAGTGTGTTTGTGGTTTAACATTTTAATCAATTCTGAAGGAGGTTCTTCAATCAAAGGTTTAAGAGGCCTCAAATACAGGAAATAATAAGTGAGCCCTGAGTAGGGTATTCATTTCATGATGACTAGATTTAGTGGACTGAGTGAGGTAACGTTTTTTTTTTTTTCCTGGCAGGACTAGGGATCAAGAAAGAAGGTCTCTAGTGTACTAGATAGGCAGGTGCTGTACTGTTGAACTGCACTCCCAGGAAACTATTTTAATTGAAACATACTGGCCTTTGTTTTTGTACTGGTGCTGGGTGCTGCCTCTGAGCTTTTCTTGCTCAAGGCTGGTGCTCTACCACCTGAGCTTCACAGATTTTCCTGCCTGGGCTGACATTGAACTATGATCCTCAGATCTCAGCCTGCTTTGTAGCTAGGATTGCAGGCATGAGCTACCAGAGCCCAGGTGTCCTGTCCTGTCTTGTCTCTGTCTTTCTTCTCTCTTTCCTCTTTCCTCTTTTCCCTCCCTCTCTCTTCCCTCCCTCCCTCCTTCCCTTCCCTCCTCTCTCCCCCTCTCCTCCCTTTCTTTCCTTTTTCTTTTGTGTATGCTGGTACTGGAGCTTGAGCACTGTCCTTTAGTCTTTGGCCACAGCTGGCACTCTACCACTTGAGCACAGCTCTACTTCATGGTTTTTGGTAGTTAATTGGAGATGGGTCTCACAGACTTCCCTGTCCTGGCTGGCTTTGAACTATTATTCTCAGGCCTTAGCTTCATGGGTAGCTAGGATTATAGGCATGAGCCACCAGTACCTGTCCAGAAGATCTTTTTTAAGCCTTCTACTGAAACTGAGTACAGGGGCAAGATCATGTTTCTTCTCTCTCTTGTGCTTGTTCTCTCTCTCTCTCTCATTCTCTTCCTCCCTCCCTCCCCTCCTCTCTCCCTCTCCTCATCTCCCTGACCCCTCCCCTCTCTCCTGTCCCCCTATCCCTGAGCTCTTTTGCTCAAGGCTAGCTGTCTTCCACAAGGTGCTAGTGGCTCACACCTGTAATACTCAGGAGGTTGAGATCTGAGGATCAAGGTTTGAAACTAGCCCAGGCAGGAAAATCTGGGAGATTTTTACCTCCAGTGAACCACCAGAAAACCAAAATGGTAGAGCTCTAGCCTTAGGCAAAAAAGATCAAGACAGTATGGGAGGCCCAGAGTTAAGAAGCTTCACAATTGATTTAAAGAAAAAAGTCTCCTGGACTCTCCTGGATGAGGCTAGCTTTGAACTGCCATCCTCAGTTCTTAGATTTCTGAATAACTAGGATGATAAGCATGAGCCACCAGCATCCAGCTGTGTTCCTATTTCTTTGGTTGTTGTTGTTGTTGTGGTTAATCTTGGGGCTTGAACTCAGGACCTGGGACACTGTCTCTGAGCTCTTCAGCTCAAGGTGAGCGTTTTACCACTTGAGCTCAAGGTGAGCATTTTTACCACTTGAGCCACAGCACCACTTCAGGTTTTCTGGTGGTTCCTTGTAGATCAGAGTTTCATGGAGGGGCTGGGAATGTGGCTTAGTGGTACAGTGCTCGCCCAGCAGGCTTGAAGCCCTGGTTCACCTCCTCAGTACCACAGACAGAAAAGCTGGAAGTGGCTCTGTGGCTTAAGTGGTAGAGTGCTATCCCTGTGCCAAAGTTGTTCTGGGACGGTGTCCAGGCCCTGAGTTCAAGTCCTAGGACTGGCAAAAATAAAAGTCTCGTGGACTTCCCTGCCTGGACTGGCTTTGAACTGTGATCTTCAGACCTCTGACTCCTGAGTAGCTAGAATTACAGCAGAGAGAGTTGATGTTTCTTTCAGCAAATATTTATAAAGCATCCTTTTTGTGTTAGGCAGGCCGAGTAGGTGCTGTTGTGAAACTTGTAAACACAACACAAAAATAACTGCCTCCTTTTTTGTGGAATGAGCCAGATAATAAGCAAATCAGTAAGTCCTGGATGAAGTCTGTCAATGGGTTGTAAGAAATAAAGCCCAGTGGGGCACACGGAGCAAGGCCCATCCCTTAGTCACTGTAGTTTAATTTATGGTGCTGCTCCTCACTAAAAGGTGTATCTGGCCCAAAATAGCATTGCTGAGGAAAGAATCACAAAGATCCTGAGCCTGTTCCTTTTTTTTTTTTTTTTTTTTGCCAGTCCTAGGCCTTGAACTCAGGGCCTGGGCTCTGTCCCTGAGCCGCTCTCTGCTACTTGAGACACAGAGCCGTTTTTGGCCTTTTCTGTGTATGTGGTACTGAGAAATCAAACTCAGGGCTTCATGCATGCTAGGCAGGCACTCTACCCGAGCCACCTCCTCGGCCTAGACCATTGCTCTTTTAACAGTAAGAACTACTGAGAAAGACACTGAGCCCATGTTTTCGACAAATGTGGACTAGTGTTTGCTAGAGGCTAATATGAAGACAGAACAACAAAAAAGCAATGAACAGCACCCAGTGAAAAATGAAAA